CGGCGCGGGAAATGGTGTTCGTGGCCGAGCAGGGCGTGGCCAACGGAGCCAATCGGCTCGACCCGACCTGGCAAGAGATGCTGAACCACGCCACCAGAAAGGTCTGGGATGGACTGGGATAAACTGGGATGGACTGGGAATGGACTGGGATAAACTGGGATGGACTGGGATGGACTGGGAATGGACTGGGATGGACTGGGAATGGACTGGGATAAACTGGGATGGACTGGGAGGGACTGGAATGGACTGGGATGGACTGGAATGGATTGGGATGGACTGGGATGGGATTGGGAATGGACTCGGAATGGATTGGGATGGACTGGGATGGACTGGGAATGGGTTTGGATGGACTGGGATGGGATTGGGATGGACTGGGAATGGACTGGGATGGACTGGGATAAACTGGGGTGGACTGGGATGGACTGGGGATGGGTTTGGGATCAATAGGATGGGATTTGGGATGGATTTGGGATCAATAAAAGGTTTGGGATCAATCAGAAAAGGTTTGGGATCGATTGGAAAAGGTTTGGGATCAATGGGATGGGATTTGGGGTGGATTTGGGAAGGAATGGCTCGACTCGACCTGGCAGGAGATGCTCAACCACGGCACCAGAAAGGTTTGGGATGGACTGGGATAAACTGGGGTGGACTGGGATGGGATTGGGATGGACTGGGATGGACTGGGAATGGAGTGGGAATGGACTGGGAATGGACTGGGATGGGCTGGGAATGGGTTTGGATGGACTGGGATAAACTGGGATGGACTCGGAGGGACTGGGATGGACTGGGAATGGGTTTGGGATCAATAGGATGGGGTTTGGGATGGATTTGGGGTGGATTTGGGAAGGAGTGGCTCGACCCAACCTGGCAGGAGATGCTCAACCACGCCACCAGAAAGGTCTGGGATGGACTGGGATAAACTGGGGTGGACTGGGAATGGTTTGGGATCAATGGGATGGACTGGGGAGGGACTGGGAATGAATTGGGATGGACTGGAATGGATTGGGATGGACTGGAATGGATTGGGATGGACTGGAATGGATTGGGATGGACTGGAATGGATTGGGATGGACTGGAATGGACTGGGATGGACTGGGAATGGGTTTGGGATTGATTGGAAAAGGTTTGGGGCGGATTTGGGACATTTAGGGCCGGGATTTGGGGCATTTGGGGTCAGATTTTGGGGTATTTGGGGTCAGGATTTGGGGCATTTGGGAAATTTGGGGTCAGGATCTGGGGTATTTGGGGTCAGGATTTTGGGTATTTGGGGTCAGGATTTGGGACATTTGGGGTCAGAATTTGGGGAATTTGGGTCATTTAGTGTTGGCATCGAATAGAGAAGGTTTGGGGTCAATAAAAGGTTTGGGATTGATTGGAAAAGGTTTGGGATCAATCGGCGAAGGTTTGGGATCAATGGGAAAAGGTTTGGGATCAATGGGATGAGATTTGGGATCAATTTAGGATTTGTTGGAGAAGGTTTGGGATCAATTGGTGAAGGTTTGGGATCAATAAAAGGTTTGGAATCGATCGGAAAAGGTTTGGGATCAATAGGATGGGATTTGGGATGGGTTTGGGATTGATTGGAGAAGGTTTGGGATCAATGGGAGAAGGTTTGGGGTCGATTGGGGAAAGTTTGGGATAAATGGGATGGGATTTGGAATTGATTGGAGAAGGTTTGGGGTCAACTGGAGAAGATTTGGGATCGATCGGAGAAAGTTTAGGATTGATTGGAAAAGGTTTGGGATCGATCGGAGAAGGTTTGGGATCAATGGGATGGGATTTGAGATGGATTTGGGATCAATGGGAAAAGGTTTGGGATCGATCAGAGAAGGTTTGGGATCAATGGGATGGGATTTGGGATGGATTTGGGATCAATGGGAAAAGGTTTGGGATCGATCAGAGAAGGTTTTCCATCCAATTTTCACCGTTTTCGGTCGGATTTTCGCCATTTTTTCACCGATTTTCGTGGGGGTTTTTTTGGGAATTTCCTAAAATTTGGGAAAAGTTGGGAATTTGTCCTTCCCATTTTTTTGGGGTGGAATTTCTGTGATTCCTGACTCATTTTTGGGCGGATTTTCATCATTTTTGTGCTGATTTTCGTCATTTTTGGTCATATTTTCGCCGTTTTTTCACCAATTTTCGCC